GAAACCAAGCTGCCAGGTCCAGGACTTGAACCACGGTCAGCATGTGGGAGTCCAGTGCCTTAACCACCATGCTACCTGCTGGTCCTCTGTCATAATTTCCAAGCCACCTGATCTGGGACTCAAACTGCAGTCAGCCATATGGGAATCTAGCGCTTTAACCACCGCACCACTGGCTGGGTCATATTTATTTTTAATTTTGAAAATATGCTAGGGGATATGTGTGCTTGCTAGAGATAGAGAAAGTGAGGAAGCAGCCCCATGGGGGTTGGGTGGCCACGCTATACTCCCTTCTCTTTCCTTTCTCTTTGGGGATTTTGGCATGCACACATATGTGGTGTTTTTCAAGACACCCATCTGGGACTCAACTGCACGGTCAGCGTGTGGGATCCAGCACCTTACCCACCACACCCCCAGCTGGTGCAGGAACATCAGCTTTTTTAAGAATTATTTTATTTTACTTTATTTATTTATTTTACTTGACCAGACAGAGAGAGAGAGAGAGAGAGAGAGGCGGGGAGTGAGAAACAAGCCTCCAGGACCAGGACTGAAACCGTGGTCGGCCATATGGGAGTCCAATGCCCTTAACCACCACACCACCTGCCAGCCCATTTTTAATATTCCATTGAGTAGCTGGACCATTGTTTACTTAACATGTTTTTGGTCTTGACCCCTTAAAGGAAGACAAATCCTCCTTTCCCCGCTGTCCCATGGTGGTTCAGTCACCCATGAAGCCGCTGCGCTTTTGGATCTGCATTTTCTGCCTGCACCTTTCCTTTGAGATAATGGTGTGCCGGTTGCTGCATCCAGTGGCACTTCTTTTCATTCGCCTTAAACTTTACTCGTTGAAGCTTCAGTAGGCCTCTTGGGCATCCTGCCCTTTAGTTTGATGGACAATGTTGTGCTGCCCTTCCCCTTCCTGGTCTGGTAGCTTTGGACTAGGGACTCCCCTGTCCTTGCTAGACAGGTGCTACTGTGGGCGGCAGGCCCGAGCGTGCGTGGCCCCTAGCGTGGGCGTGACTCGGCCTTGCAGTTCTCAGGTGAGTGTTCCCCAGCTACAAGGGGGGATGTCTGCTGGACAGAGAACAAGAGGTCCCCCGCCCAAACACATCTACCTCGCTGCCCTCTGGTGACCCAGGGTGCCCGGGTGGCTGGATCTTAAGAACTGGCCGCCTCACACTTGCACCTGCCCCTGCCCGTGTCTCTCCCCGCCTGACTTCTGTGACCCGCTGTTCCCATTCCACCGTCCCTCCCTCACAGAGCTGTCACTGCAGCTCCTGCTCCTGGCTCCCTCTCATCGGAGGAGTTTGTGTGACCTTCGCACTGTGTTCATGCTTCGGGACTGAGCGCCGTAATGATGTTGGCGGCAGAGGTTAGCAGATGGCGGTGGCAGCAATGAGACCTGACATGTTCTAATGACTCCTTCCTTCCCACCCTTGCTGGCCAAGCCAATGGAGGGGCAGGGGTTTCCTTGAGGTATTTAAGGAGGGGACCAAGGGAAATCGGGGGGCCCCCAGGTGCCGATGAAGCCTGTGACCTTTGTTGCTATAATATCAGTGTTTCACAAGCAGGGCGGTTCGGGAGCCCACTTGCAGCCCATCAAAAATTGATTTAATTGCAATTTTTCCTCCAATTAGGAGCACTGGAGCCTGACTAATTGGAGTAATAGAGAGTAATAAGGCTCAGATAAAAAGCCTTCCTCGGCTCCCTTTGTATCTCGTGTCAGTGCCTGTCAGAGGTCAGAGAGCTTGCATATTCTATTAGGCAGCCTGGCCTTCATTTGTACAAATTAGTTTACCCAACAGTAATTAAAATGCCAATGCGGGTTGAAGAGAACTGAATACACTTGATGGGCATGTTGGTGAATGATGTGACAGCTCTGGTGGCCTCCCTTGCCAAAGTGTGTCAGCTCGGGCTCAGAGGCTGCTGGGGCCTGGGCCAGCTGGGCGGCTCAAGGCCAGCCACGGGGCACAGCTGCTGGGAAGCCTCTCCTGCAGCCCGCCTCAGGCCGCTCAGGCGCTCCTTCCTTCCAGGTAGAAACAGTTTTTTATCTGTCAGTTGGTTCGTTCATTCGTTCGTTCTCTCAATAAGCATTTGAGTTTTCGACCCGTGTCCAGCATTATATTAGGTGCTGGGGGTACAAATACTACTAGCTCTTGAATACATGTTGCCCGTTTGGAAGTTTGCAGGATGAGGGGTGGTATGCTACCTCTGTCTTCGAGACTGACTGGGTTCAAGTTCGAGTCCTCCTCGTTGCTTTCTGTTGAGCTAGAGCAAGCTGCATTACCGCTCCGAGGCTCAGTCTCCTGACCTGTGAGTCAGGGAAAGCAGCGCCTGCTACATGGTGTTAGAAAGGGTGGGTGGGATCGTTCTTTTGAAATGCTTGCTCAGCACCTGGCACAGAGTAAGTGCTCACCAAACCATTAGTGGTATTAAGAGGACCTGAGGGACCGGCAGATGGCATGGTGGTTAAGGGTCCTGGACTCCCACATGGCCGACTGCGGTTTGAGTCCTGGATCTGGCAGCTTGCTTTTTCACTTTCCCACTCTTT